CCCTGATGTTGCAAAAATTCACGGATAGCGTGACAGGGGTCGCCTTGGTTGTATTGCTCCGCTTGCCCCGAGTAGCATTAGTCGCGAGCGGAATTTTGCCCTCCCCCAGAATACGCGGGGCAGCTTGAGCACCCACGCTCAGGAGTGAAGTAGTTTGGTCGTGGATGCCCAGCTAGGGATTCTCCAGGGGTGCTGGTACCCTCCCGGGGTAGTCTTTTATTTAATTCCACTACCATTTTGATGGGGCGGGAGGGGGGGGGGGGAATTGGGCCTCCGGCCACCTGCACTCACCAAGCGCAACGCAGAGGTAAACCTCTACTTCACGCTGGTATTCTGTGAGGTCGTGGTACCACCCCGGTTCGAGCTGGCCGATCCGTGCGACAGCAAAAGCTACCGCTTAGCTCTACCACTGTTAACTTTTGTTATATAAATCAAAACATACATATAATTTTGCCATAAAAAGTTAAATTCCACTATGTTAAGTTGACATAGAGAGTTTTGTATCAAGGAATCTAAAGTGAAGAGTAAAGGCAAATTTTTTAATTGCAGCAAGAGATTTAAATTTAAATTATTATACTTCACAAGTATTTGGACTTGTCAGGCCAAATCTGGGCAAACTTTTCACTATAAAATTATTATTCCTGGTGTTCGAGAATAAATTATGTAGTTAACTAAAATTAGGAATTCGTTGTTAAAAGCGCGTGTCTTTGCTTATTTTACTTGAGTATTTTTATATTATATATAATACTAAATAAATGTATAAGTGTTTTTGGATGTTTGTGGCTCCATCACGTAAAAACTACTGAACGGCTATTGATGAAACTTGGCAATATTATAGATAACGAACCAGAATAGGTTCTTTTGTATAAAAAAATTTCGTCGTTCCCAAGTTACAGTCGTTTTAATACATGTTGCAATAAAAAAAAATCGTCGTTTTTTTTTTTAATTAAACGCTTTATAGTCTTGTAGTGACAGAACTCTTGTTTTGTCAGTCAGGTAAAAACGCCAACCATGGACGACATATTTTTTTATTTTAGATTTTCCTGATTAGATACCTACTTTAATTGTCCTGTCCGTGAACGTAAGATTAATGGAAAGTAGTGAAAGCCAATATAGGCCACAATTCTGTATCAAGGTTTACAATTAAATCTATTTTGAAAAAGGTTTACAACAATATTTTTATAACAAAAACAGTCTCAGAGTTTACTAATTATCTAAAAGAAAATAATAATTATTTTTTAATAACTAAAATTAAGTATTTTCCATTTCTTAAACTTTGTAGAGCCCTCTTTTATTTATTGTGCTTTAAATATATTCTACTAAGTTATCATTTTTGTACCAAATTCTATCTTTTATGTCAGGCCACTGAAATTGTATTAGCTTATGACAGTGTCCTCATACTTCATTCAATATTGTCTATACTCTCAATGTCAATGATGCCTGGCTGTAATAATTACACAGTTTCCTTCTGTTTCCTGTGAGACAACTGAGTCACACTCACTGGTAACTTCTGGTTGTGTCTTGTCGACGGATATAATTGGTGTCTTCTCGTGCTATTAGTTGTGACCAAGTGGTAGTTAAAAAGTCAAAAAAGAAACATTTATTATTAACACGTTTCACACATTGTGGCGGCGCTGTTTTCGCGCCATAAGCAAAACGTTCTGAAGTATTGCGGCATATATATAGAATAGCTCCAAAACGATCACATGGAGCGTTGTTCGTTCCCCGGACGGATCACTTTGCCCGGCGGGAGATCTCCCCTTTTCCTTTCACTGCCAAAGTGGTGACCCCGACCTGATTGGAACAAGCAAAATTCGTCATTATCCCCAAGAACACCTACCATTCACTCCCGAGAATCGTCGTCTGCAGTCTTCAGCTTTTGCAAGCCAGTCGGAGTTGTCTTCATCTTGACTCATTGCAGACTCAAGGCAGACTTTTGGCTCCGGCCCATCGTTCTCACCAGCATCACTTGCAAGTGCATAGTACGGCATGTATTACACAGTGGCATATCGTTCGCACCGGCGTCACTTGCCCTTGCGTGCATTCCCCATATATGTTTAAATATTTGTAAACAAATTAACAAATAAATAATTTTAAAAAAAACACAAAACCTACCGCAGCTAAAAAAATAGCTGCTGACCTTGAAACAGCTGAACGGATTTTGATACAAAATGCGTTAGAACCACCGCTAGAAAACCTGTTTTTAAAGGAAAAAACCGCAAACCAAACGGACTTCACTCAGCTTATGATGTTGCCGAAACACAGCGCCGATTTTCAGTGAGCCCGCCTTTTGTTTGTGGCTGGATCTTATCAATGGATGAATTTTGAGTTTCTTCAGATATTAAAGAGCCATATAAGTCATGATTATGGAATCATTGGTAAGTATTCCTGGTTGGGGCTGGTTGTGGTTTATTTATTTCCCGTCCTTCAGACTTGTCGGAGATTTGGAGCTCATGAATTGTCTGTGGGTGTTGTGTAGATTCTTTCGTCTCAATTCGTCCAGGAAGATCTTTACACTTTCTACGTCAGTTAGGAATGCTTAACGTTAGCCATAATTATGTAAAGAGATTGTTGATATTTTTGTGGAAGGATGTCTTTCATCATTGCCGGTTTTAGCATTACCGGCGTCCTGGGCGAGATTTCTACAGGCGCCTTTGTTCTACTGACCAATTTAACCCCTTACCGCATGAATTATTAAAGAGATGGAATGAAAATTATTTTTTTACGAAATAGTGTTTAATTAGGCTTACATAATGAGATCAGATTGAAATAAAAAATTAATAAACTTATGTTTATTAATTAGGTATCGATGTATTCAAAAAACTTTAAGTAAAATGTTTGGAATATAACAAGTTATATTAAAAATAAATATAAATATAAAGATAATAACTTATATCTAAAATTAAATCTAAAACTATTTACATTAATATTCTACTCGTACATCAGAATCAGTTTTTGTGTTTTAGCCGCCTTGTCCAGCCTTGTCTAGCCAAATTCGTTTGCGCGCGATAAAACGATGACACTATTTGTTTAATTACACTTTTGTCAAAGTCGTCTGACGCAGTTACTGTACAAGGCCGATAGACGCTTTCTCATGGAGAGCTAACTTCTCCCTTTATACACTCTTTTTTAATTTTGTCGACCGCTCTAACACTCACACCACATATCGCCGCAGCAAGTTGACGAGAAATTAACACTTTGTAACTTTTCGGGATCTATTTTCATTTCAGTGAAAAATGTTAAAACATTGTTGATAACAACACATGCTTGTGCTGGTATATTGGTGCCAACAGGCAAAATATTATTTTGAATAAATTCTGCCGTTTTGGTACAAAACAAAAGAAGCCAAATATGACAGATTGGAAAAATGATAAATAAGAATGCGAAAAAAGCTAGGCATAGAAATAAACAAACTAGTTTTATATTTCAGAGGGTATAAAACATGTAGTCATATTTTTTAATACGATATTTTATTTAGAATCCCAAAAGTTGCACTTGTTTTTCTGACACCCATCGGCCGACCACACGCGTTAGGAATAACCTCAAATATAGTTGACAAAATGTCAATTACCATGGACTAATGATTTACGTTCGAAATTACGACAAATATGCTTCTTCTAATTAAAGGTATGTTTAAAGATCAACTTTTCATTAGGCTAAATACAATCGTTTATTTCAATTAAGTAAAATTAAATTAAATTTTACTTTTCTAGCCTTTCTATCGGCTAACTCGTTTATTAAGGCATCGAAGTCGAGGTCTTTTGGAATGTTATTTTCGATTGTCAAACTTGCCAAGTTTTGAACGTGGTAGAGCCATGCTGCAGTTACATTAATTGTATAGTTGTAGCACAAATGGGTCGGCTCCAACGGAGGACCACGCTCTCACAGAATACGAGTGTAAAATAGCAGCCTAATACTGCTGTGTTTCGTATGGTGAGTTTAGAGAATCGGAGACCCTTTTTACTGGGAAAGGAGACATTCAATCAAAATGCAGATGCGTGGTCACCTCCTAGTCCTCACAGGTGACCACGCATCTGCATTTTGATTCACAAACGAGGATAGATGTAATGTCTATGGGTCACACCAACCACTTACCATCAGGTGGACTCTGTGCTCGCTTGTCACCCTTATCCTATAAAAAAAAACTTAGATTAAGATATTGTCGATCGCAAATAATTTTTCACTCCTTTCCCCACTCGCTACCGTTACAGATATAGAGATCAATATTCTCAAAGCTGTTTGTATATTTGGATACAGTTCTTGTATGTTGCAGTGTTTAATGAAATTTAAAATATATATAGGGATAACAACATCGTCTTCATCAGGCAAAAAGGATTTCAGGCTCATATGTTCATCACATAATGCATGACATCTGATTTCGACTCTTTTGTCAATTTTAATCGGAGATCACCACAGTTTGAGGAGGTCTGGTTTTTCAGGAATCCTATTTATACTGAACAAGAAAGACCGCGTTTCAGAATACTCGTTTACTGTTCAAATATGTCACTAAGTGAATTTAACCCTTAATAGGGCAGAAGTAAAAAATATTAAAAAAACAGGTTTTGTATTATTATTTATTTGTTTCATATGACCCTTTTTAACATTATTCATAAAAATTTAAAAAAAATTGTCACAAGTACGCGAAATTTCGGTGGTAATAATTTTAACATTGCCCGTTTACATTTGGGTGCAGGTGGTAACTATTTGACCTTAGCCCGTTAAGGTAATACTAGAAGAAGTGCTGCTACAGTCCATAGTCTCTCCTTCTGGGGCAGTATGAAAGTTTTTGAAGCATGGTGTGGCACATAAAGCTACTTTGCAGACATCGCAAATGATCCTTGATCGTTTTTGAGTATTTTTCGTGCTGCAAAATCGGCATCTACCCTTGGTTTTCTGGGTAGTGAGGCACAGAAGAGCGTCTAATTTCAGCGGGTACTCCGAAATTTCCATCTTGTTTGCTTCTGAAAATAATACTAGTTTTTCGTTTTTTACTTGTGAATCTATCTATAAGGCTGCGTGCCAAACGAAGTCTGTAATCTATATGTGTGTGAACCGTTTGCTTGTGAATTAGGATGTACGTTATGTACGCGTTGATGATCAAACATTGCTGCATCAAACATGAAATAAAATAGGCGCAACCAGTTGCGTCTTGATTTTCGGCTGATTGGATATGAGGCACGGAAGTGATCAAAATGATCCACTCCTCCCATATTCACAGTATATTCGGCGATAGCAGTGGGAATGGTAATATTTTTCTTGGAACCATCCTTCTGTGTTCGTTTGACCGTAAACACAGATTTTGGGTTGTGTGTCTTTGTCAAAATATTCACCAGTTGAGTATCCATCCACTGTATAGCAGAAACTGGAGCTTTGATTTTATAGATGAACTCGTGCTTTCCAAGTTTTTCGTTCTTGAATATATTTTTGGGTAATAACTTTTCTGGTAAGCCTTTTCGGTTTACTCGTACGGTACCGACGGCATATATTCCTTTCTTTATCAGCAAATCATTCATCAGAGGAACGCCAGTAAAGAAGTTTTTTTTTTAGTTTTTTTTTTATAGGAGAGGGGGCAAACGAGCATGCGGCTCACCTGATGGTAAGTGACTACCGCCGCCCATGGACAACCGCAACACCAGGGAAATTGCAGATGCGTTGCCGGCCTTTTAAAAAGGAGTAGGCTCTTTTCTTGAAGGTCCCTAAGTCGTATCGGTCCGGAAAAATCGCTGGTGGTAAACTATTCCACAAGGAAGTTGTGCGAGGAAGAAAACATCACACAAACATGGTGTGGATGGTATCGGGAGTTCTGCCGCGATGTGCGTTCGTGAAATTTGGCGGCTGGGATTAATCCGAACAATTCCTCAGAGCACTCCCCATGGTAAATGCGAAAGAAAATGCTAAGAGATGCAACATCTCTTCGCAGTGCCAATGAGTCGAGCCGATCGGAAAGGACTTGGTCGTCGACGATTCGAGCCGCTCTGCGCTGGATGCGGTCAAGTGGAAGGAGCTGGCACTGGGGAGCCCCAGCCCAGAGATGGGAACAGTATTCCATGTTAGGCCGAACCTGCGCCTTGTAAAGTTGCAGGCGTTGAGCCGGCATGAAATACTGTCCCGCTCTGCTGAGCACGCCAAGCTTTTTAGAGGGCAATTTGGCCTTCTCTTCCAAGTGACCACGAAACTGCACGTTACTCGATATGTCGACGCCGAGGATTCCGATACTGACTGAGGCAACAAGGGGAGTACCTTGAAACTGAGGAGATACGGTTAATCCCTATCCCTATCATATTTATTTTGTGTACTTACTTCCCTCACCGATTCTTCAATCACTGGTTCACTGCTTTCTAGATATTTTACCGAAACACGTGGCGCAGGAGGATCCTGAAAATTCTCTACTCCTCTTGTTTCCAACTCAGGATCTTCACCAAATACTCTTGAAAAGCCTCTCGAAACTTCATTGTCGTAATCCAGTACGCAATCGCCCAAGAGTGGTTCTTCCGAGACAATTTCGTCCCTACTTTCAATAGCGGAGAGTTCATCTTCTAGAATTCTGGCGATAATACTGTCAGTTATCTTCTTTGCCTTTGACATTCTCCTGTAAACGCAAATGTGTAAAGGTAAATATAATGGGTTTGCCAATAAGGACTTGACAACTTTTTTTTTCAAAATAAAATGCAAACCATTTGAGATATTTCAAAAACTTTATTATCAGGTTGAAGTACAATCAAAACATTTATGAATGGAACTCGACTTCGTTCATATGGCCACCGCGGGCACGTTTGCAGCGGTCGATTCGTTGGATCCAATTTTCGATGACTCGGCCACACATTTCGGCCGAAACGGCTGCTATTTCATGTTCAATGTTGGCTCTGGGCTCTTCCAACGTCGTCGACTTGTTGGCATAGACCAACGACTTGACGTAGTCCGAAAGAAAAAAGTCCAGAGGCGTTAAATCGCACGAACGAGGCGGCCAATCGGCTGGTCCATTTCTTGAGATAACACCCTAATCAAACTTATTCTTCAATAAATCGATTGTAACGTGTGCTGTGTGACTTGTGGCACCGTCCAGTTGAAACCACATGTTGTCCATATCTTCCAATTGGGGCCAAAAATATGGCGCGATAACGATTACCATTCACAGTAACGTGACGATCATTATCGTCGACGAAAAAATATGGCCCTATGACGCCGCCGGCATGCAAACCGCACCAAACAGTTATTTTTTGTGGATGAAGTGGTCTTTCATGAAGCACATGTGGATTTTCACCAGACCAATAACTCATATTTTGCTTATTGACGAACCCATTGACCATTGAGCCAAATATTAGCTTCGTCACGATGATTTTGCGATGAAATTGCGCATCTTTTCCAGAGCCCAATCGGAGAACGTACGTCGCTTCAAATGGTCCATCGGCTTCAATTCTTGAGTCAGCTGGATCTTTTATGGGTGTAAACCAAGATCCTTACGTAAAATTCGTCATAAGGTGGTCTGGGCGATGCCCAACTCTTGAGAACGCCGTGGAATTGACTGATTTGGATCATTTGCTACGACCAACCTGTTGTCGCACTGGAACGGCAAAATCACAACGAATATGTAGACTCAAATTTTTGCACTAAACTTGTTACTGCCTGTCTACTAGGGCGAGAATTACGACCGAAAATCGGAGTTAGCGCTCTTAATGTAGCGGTCATCGACTCCGAATTTCTGTAGTAAATTTTTATAATTTGCAGACGTTGTTCCTTCTTGTACTTTACCATGATGAAAATGTTAAGTTTACTGAATAAATTGACAGTGACAGTTCGATGATTAGTGAAAGGGTGCGTTCACAAATTGAATTCAAAGTTGTTAAGTCCCTATTGAAAACCCAATATTACCACCAAATACTACTAAGTTAATCTAACCGGGCAATGGTAAGAGTGTTATCACCGATTTTACGACGATTTTCTAATAAGTACAAATTTCATTAAAAAACTTGTTCTACGAGACATGCAGGGTAATATAATCAATTATCTTACCAAAAAAAAAAAACGTAAAACCACGTACCGGAATCTTGTTAGAACAAAGTTTCAACTTGTTGGCGCAAAACACACTCGATTTTGAAGATAGTTCGGTTTTTTTTCTAATGGCGGTAGTTCGCATACTTTTGCAGTTAGCGTAATTGCAAGTACTAATAAAAGTTTCAAGGGTTCCTGCACATTTTAATAATGAATAAATTTAGGTGTATTTAGAACTAATCATGATCTATGGTCAAAAAGCTGAGGGAATTTGTCCTGTGCCCTATTAAGGGTTAAAGTGGTGTCCAAAAGACAGTTGAAAAAATCGACTTAAATTTTTTTTGTGAATCAGTTATAGGCTCAACACGGGCAGTTAAATCTTTGCCAGTTTGGCGTTTAATACGTCTTATTTTTGTTTGTGGCTTTAAATACTGGTTCAATTGCAAGTTCTTCCGCCAACTCTCTCGCTGTTGAAATGGCGCTTTCAAAACTCGTTTTTCTATACTCTTTCAAGAAAAAGCAGCTTTTCTCGGTGTCTCTGTGAATTTAGTGGAATCCATATGTATTGGTAATTGCAGGGACTTACTAACGACATTTATCTGGCACGTTACATCATACAAAACAACCAGTGAAACTATGAAGCTGAAATCTTTTAACTGTTGGACTAGAGCAGGGGCCTCGTGAGACACTGGAACGTCGGTTTTCTCGGTCTCAATAGCCAACGAAATTAAAGCATCATGATCGTTACTAATTTGATAACGAAATGCTTTAACACTGCTTATTTTTACTTCTCAACGTGTTCCGCTGAGCTTTTTTATAGAATACTAGCTTTTACCCGCAACTTTGTCCGCGTAGAAGAAAATGGTTCTAATAGAATTTTTAATTGGTTTTCTATGTTATTAATTTTGTTATAACATATAAATTATTATGTTAAAATGTTTGAATACTTATACAAGGGTGACACTGAAAGTTCTTAGAAAATCAAAAACTGAACAAACTAGCAAGTTATTAGTTTTATTATTTCTTTTCAAAATAGTGTCCATTTACATCAAACATCGCTGCATCCGATGGAACCACTGAGAAAAGCACTTTGCTCATTCGTCCTTAGGGGTCTCTTCGACAGCATTTCTTGAAGTTTTCTTTTATTTTCGGAAATAAATGAAAATCGCAAGGCGCGAGGTCGGAGCTATAGGGCGGGACCAAATAATCGATTGTTTGCTTGGCGGTGTGCGACAAAGCGTTGTCGTGGTGAAGGAGGATCCTACTGCGAAGTCGTTTGTCCCGAAATTTTTCCAGTAACCGTTTTTCGATCCTCTAAAACAATTGTTGCGCAGTGACCCGTCTTTCCGAAGAATGAGGCCACCATCTTTTTTCCCACGTTATGACCTCTCTTCACTTTAGTTGGCAACTCCTCGGAAGGAAACATCTAGATAGCAAACTATCTCTTAATTTCAGGATCATAACGATAAATCCAGCTTAGGTCACCCGTAACTATGTCGAACACAGCATTTGAGTCACCTCTGTTAAATTTTTGAACCATTTCACGGCACCAATCAACACGACGGAGTTTTTGGACCTCTGTAAAATTATGAGGTATCCACCGGGTACAAAGGTTCCTGACCGCTAAATGTTCATTTTATGCACTTGACTCATACCGATGCCTAAGCTTGTCCGAATGTGCTGATAAGTCACTCTTTTGTCAGTTTCTATCATACGCCGCACAACACTGATGTTATCTTCAGTCGTCGTCGTGGAAGGCCGTCCCCTCACGCAGATCATCGGTGAGGTGATTAGTGCAACCACGTTTAAACTCATTAAATCAGTTGTAAACAGTGGCACGAGATGGGGCTTCATCGTGAAAGGCCAATCGAAGTCTATCTTGACTTTCTTGTTGACTTAAATGACATCGAAAGTCATAAAAAATCATTGTACGAAAATTTTCTCGCGCTAAATTTATGCTGACGTGACACAGACAATTTTCAATTTGCCGCCAAATCGTAAACAAATGACAAATTAATAAAATGCATACATAATAATATTGGCAAAGAGTTCCATTTTCAAAATTTGAACTTATTTTTTTATTATATCGTTTACAAGTGGCCAATTCTAAAAACTTTCAGTGTCGTCCTCGTAAAATATAATAATATTTATTATAGTGTAGGCATTTAAAGTTTAAATAAACATGAAAATAAAATAAAATTTTGTTGTATTTTATGCACACGAAGCTCGGCCTTTGATCTGGTGAAAGTGACACGGGGGTATTACCTTTTTACAACAAAATCGAAATACTACACCTACCGCAGTATTTCTTTGTAAACAATATTTTTTGTTTTTCCTTCGGGTGTTAGAATCACCAAGCTACTCTGTGCGCTTATTCTGAAGCATGCCACTTACAACTGGCCGCGGGAGAAGCAGCTTTCTCTTAAGTCTATTCATGCTACCTTAAGAGCTATATTTCACCGGGACACAATGGCGGCGAAACCAGTCGCGCCACCGTTGTGTCCGTAAGCTACCAAACTGGACACCATACAGACACCAGAGTCACCACACCACACTGAGACAGTATCAAAATGGATCTCGAAGAGATAGCACTACTGCTGTATGTACATAGGAAAAGAGAGTTCAAGAGAAAAAAGAAACAGTGGTGGGTTCATCCTTATTTAGCCGATCGCTGTAAGAAAGGACAATTCGTCAACATATACAACGGTAGATTTCCGGATAAGTTGTTTAGCTATGTGAGGATGTCCGTGAGGTTCTATGATGAGTTACTGACTGTGTGAAAATGATTTGTTGAAATACGACACAATATTAAGAAAATCAATCAGTCCTGAAGAAAAGTTGGATGTAACATTAAGGTAAGTTAAAACAAACTATGAACATTATTAAGTAAGTTTTATTAAAAAATGTATGCAAACAAACAAGCCATGAACATTTAAGTACTATACAGATCCATAAGTGGTTTGGGTCTTGTGAGTCATGTGTGTCGCTTGGAGAACTTGCATATGTCATTGTATTCATAGAATTATATGGAGAATTAGGACTATTTGTAGTAGTTTCATTCTGATTATTCGTCTTTGTCCTATAACTCGGTCCAGGATATTCAGTAGCAATCACTTGCCGTTGCGTCGAATAACCAGGATGATAGTTCTCATCAATCACCATTCTGCCGCCTGGATTAATCTCTGAAGTATGCCGAAATGACCGATCAGCATAATCAAATGTCCTGTTACCAGAAAAACCTGACGCGTCGTTCAACAAAGTTAATATCTTTATTTTGGTAGCCTTTTTAATTTGAAGAGGTAGATTTTTTAAGGTGCTCAACAATGAAAGCAGAAATAGCTGATCTTCGTCAACCTCAGCTGTCTCGCGTAGTTGTCTGCTTTGGTATCTCACGCCGTCTTTGCTCATCTTTTCAGCTCAGCTTTTGGATCATCGTCTACTGTTTGTAGCTTTTTGTTTAGGTCGCCAGTTAGGTCGAAGTAGGAGACTTCAGTGTTCTCCGAATTTTCTTAGTGGTTAGTGCCTCCAGAATAAGACTTTAATTTTTTTGGGCGCACTTCCCGCTCGTAGCATGATCTTGATGCGTTTCCATCGTTTCTGCAACACTAACCCTAAAAATTAAATTATATTATTTATTACTTATTTGTATAGGATATGGGTGACAAACGAGCACACAGTCCACCTGATGGTAAGTGGTTGCTGCGGCCCATAGACATCTCCATTTATCCTCGATTACGAATCAAAATGCAGATGCGATGTCACTCGTAAGGTTCTCTACACACCATACTAAACACAGCAGCGTTAAGCTGCTATTTTACGTTGGAATTCTGTGAGAGCGTGGTCCCTCCCCGGTCGAGCCGATCCATTCGTGCTAACACTATACTACTAATATAGCTGCTGCATGGCTCTACCAATGAAAACCCACTTCTATGACAAAATAATTATATTCATTAATAAATAGATACACAATTTCACTCACAACGGGCTTTTGGCTGTCCATGTTTCAACAGAATCATCATGAACATTTATTGATAATAATTCATTAATAAAAATATATGTTGTTTACTTACTTAAGCTCTTTTGTTGTTCAAAGGTTTGCTCCTGTTCTCCAAACAAATCTTCTACTTCCTCCCAACATTTGTTTTTCAAATCTCTATCGGAACAATCTGAATAGGAATTATCCCAAATTGATGGTCTACTTTGAATTTCGATATCTTTCTGTATCGAAATTATTCATCGTATGCAATTAACAAACAATTAAAATATTAAATTAAGCAGTTAAAAAACAAAACACAACAACGTGTTGCATGCAATGAAGTGGGGGTGTCACTGGCGGCTGGATTGGCGACCGAGTGAGTGAGATACCATATCGCTATAGTAATTAGTTTAGTGGTGGCGCGACGAGAGTGGCGTCGCGACCAGTAACATTCTGTGCATGCGTCCTAGCTAGTCGCGCCCCTAAATTGGTTGCGCAACCAAACGGACACCAGGTGAGTAATTCTCTATAGAGCTGTATACATTTTGTTGGTAGCGGCGACTGGTTGCGCCGCCATGGTGTCCCGGTGAAATAAAGCCGTAAGAGTTTGACTTTGAGTTATGTTTATGGTTATGGCGAAGCAGACTTTCATAGGAAACTGCACTCTCTTGAATTTAAAGGGGTAATTTGGTGGTGTTATGAGAATCCTAGAAATAAATACACTCTTCACGAGAACAACCTGTCAGTATAGTTGCCCCGATTACATTGCGATGCAATATTTTCACTTGCAATCTGGTGCCATTGCATAATTTTGGTGAATTACTGCGCAGAAACATAATTGGCGTACCAACTCTCTTTTTTAATCATCGGTGTTTATGACCAGTGTTGCCAACCTTATACGAAGTAAAATCTGTACTGGGTTCTTAAAAATCCGTATAAATTCCGTATGTCTTTATTATTAGTAAGAATGTTGTATAAAAATAGCAGTTGCAAAAAAAAAAACATGCAAGGAAATACTTATTATCTAACGACAATTAGAATAATCTAAAATAATCGCGAAACCGTCCGTATATTGTTTGACAATGAACATAAGGATTGATAAGAATTTGATTAACCTATTTAAAATCATAATTTCTTTTGTATTAATTTTTTTTATAATTGATGAGTTTACTTCGAAACCAAAACAGGCTGTGCTGCCTAATACATATTTAGCAGTCCCTCTACTGTCGCGGTAGACAATTGATTTCGTTGTTTTGTTAATAAATATTGATAGCTGAGAAAATTCTTTCCACAGCTGCTCTAGAATGTGGCAAGCTTAGCAGTGATGTAATAAATTTAGAGAGTTGTGGCAAGCAGGATTCACGGTCGTCATAATCCTCTGCCAATACTTTTCTACCTCTTCATTTGCAACTGGGTTTATGATAGAATTATTTCTTAAATCTCTCCATTTTGTATCTTAAGTTTGAATATTTTCTTGTTCTATTAAATTTGGAAAGTGGAGCGCCATATGTACAATTGACGCTATTCTGCGTGACGTCACTACTTCGGAGTTTAAAAATTCCAGGCCTTTAAGGTACTTTCTAAAATCGTAGCGCATTTTCATCTGTCTTGTAGCTTCGATATAAAAATCAGAACATTTTGAAGTTTTCGTCAGTAAGATTCGAATGTGATAATAGTTTAATACGAGGGTGCGTTTTTAAGTTCGCGGAATGGGTAGGAAGGTAATAAGTGCGGACGTCGCTGAATTACGTGCTAATTGAGCAACTCATTATTAGTATAAATACCGGGTTTTATTGTAATTAAATCATTAGTCTTTGAGTTATCGTCAATCAAACAAGTCACTCGGGAAGAAATTGTAAAATATGAAGAAAATCGAGTTCCGTGTCGTTATAAAGTTCCTTACCAAGCGCGGAAAATCAGTTCAGACTATACTGGAAGAGATGTCATCCGTTTACGGAGACTTGTCCAAGTAAAACTATGGTTTACAAGTGGCATACCCTTTTTAAACAAAGCAGAAAGTCACGTGATGACGACCCACGGCCAGGAAGGCCGATCGAGGTGACCACTTCGGAAATTATTCAAAAAGTGGTAAAATTTATATTAGAAGATGCCCGCCTAAAGAAAAAACAGCTCGTAGAAATGGTTGGAGTATCAGATACAATCATTTTCTAAATTCTTCATGACCATCTTGGCATCACTGAAGTCAGCGCAAGATGGGTGCCTAGAATGCTCACGCCGCCACAAAAGTAACAGCGCGTGGAGTGTTCTCGTGCATTTTTGGACCTCTGTATGGAAGACAAAGATGGAGTGTTGGCTCGAATTGTTAATGGTGACGAAATTTCGGTTCACCATTATGAACCTGAGTCCAAACAGGACTCTATGCAGTGGCACAAAAAAGGCTCACCACCACCCAAGAAATTTAAGGTGGCATAATTGGCTGGGAAAATCATGGCGACAATCTTTTGGGACTCAGACGGAATCCTATTGATTAATCATAAAGATAAAGGTGTCTCCATAACCGAAAATTACTACGCTTCAATCCTAGAACAATTGAAGGAAGCCATAAAGGAGAAAAGAAGGGGAAAATTAACCAAAGGAATCCTTCTTCTGCACGACAACGCGCCTGTTCACAAGTGCCATTATGCGATTGCTGCCCTGCAGAAGCTGAGCTTCAAAATTTTGCCACACACACCCTATAGTCCTGACCTTGCCCCCAGTGATTATTATCTATTGCCAAACTTAAAAATAGGATCTTCATTTGGATTTGGTATCTCAGCACATATAAGTTCACCATCCATAACAATATCTGTATGTGAGGCAGACCCCGTTTCTACCATTCGCTAGAGAACATGAAACAACGTACTTCTCCAAATATTTCTCCTTTGGATAGAAGTGCCATTATTTTCTTAATTTTGAGGTGAAAATCCCTGGCTCCTCGATTCCATCCCATCGAAGATTGCAAGTAAATCTTATAAAGAGATCGGGACGACCATAGTGGCGCACATACGTCATGGCGTCTTGTGTCCGCTCATGCATATAGCGTGGCCCCTCAGTAAAAGAAGAAGGCAGCACTATCTTTTGACACAGCTGATCAGCATCAACGTCCTGTCTCCCTATCGCATCTTGCAAATGTATACAACGGTCCGCTCTAAGCTGAGCCTGATTGTTCCTAATATAACTCAACTTTCCGTCTAGATTTTCGTAAACATGTCAACAAAAAACTGGCTAAATAGTGAATGAGTATATAGTAGATGATTATCTTCTCCTTCCTAATCATTATACGGTAAGAATAAAAACTTGCAGCAGATACCATTTTTTTAAGCGGTTTTTTGGTCTTTGGATCGCACTGGGTTATAGAATTGGAGTAACCATCCTCGCCGTAACAAAACAAATGTGCCGATGCATTACAGTACCATCGTACGTTCGTAAATTATGAGCGATGGATTTCAATTTTTCGATGCATTGTGTTATCATGGCTCTCAATTACAATATCCCGCTTAGAAAATTGCTGTCCAAAATAACTAAAGCAATTTCATTTGACGTCGGCTTATTATACCGTCCACTATGGCCATTTGTAGGCTTTCTTTCAGCATTTATAACAACTTTAAATGTATTTGGCGTAGCAGATACTTTGTCTAGGGCCAGCTTTAACTCTCTTACTTATACTTATGAGTATGTAGAATTTCTTGTAATTGCCTTACCAAGCCAAGTTCTTCTCTATTATCGTCACCGAAAAATATATCTGTAAGAACTGTGGTTCATGTTTGCGGTGGCAGAAGTAAACTTCCAACCAAATGATTCACATGGCTCTGCACTTTGAATGTTTATTATCTTGTTATGTTCCTGTCCATGTATTGTTGTTGTCGTGTTATGCTCCAAATGAGGTCATTTGAAAACAACTATTATAATGCCGTATGCCAGCAATGAAGTGATCATGCTCGGGGTGGAGGTTTTTTTATCAAACAGTAAAAATGATCTGGAAGCTTTTGCAAAGTTTCGAGCTGGACCTTTCCTGAATCGCAGCACAGATTCATTCTTGTACTTGAGAGTTTTAAAACATTTGCATTCGATGTTCATCGGTCCTAAAACAACAGTATTATCACTATCTTGTCGCTGTCCTTCATGATTTTGTTCATATCGTAACTGTGATACTCTGTGATCACAGTTACAATATGAACATACACATATACACAAGATGTTTGCGCCGATATTTATTTGCAGCCTGCTTATGTACTTCAGGGTGTTCCTGCTGATAATTAACGACAGCTTGCCTGTGAAATTTAGGGTGTTTTTCTGATAATTAGCAGCACGTTTACGATCTTTTACAAGCACACTAGCCACAGCGTCATTTAAATCTTTTTCTCTTGAACTAAGATTAACGTCAAAAAACAGAATTCAATACAGTGTAGGTATACTATAACAGTCTCTAACG